CTGAAACGGGGTAATTTGTCTCCGAATCCAAAACACGCGTTCACTCCACCGTGGCTCGGATACTTCTTTCTAGTTCACAACGTCACAATCCCAAAAACAAAACCGCCATCGCTCCTGCAACCGCGTTCGATTGTTATGTTGATTAGAGAAGGTCCATTAATTATGTCACGAATATTTGGCCCATTTTCAACACCCCTCCCTCTTTGTCACATTTTTTGTATGGACCTTAAATTTTTTTGTATGGCTCGTCACAGTTTCCAAACACCCCCCCCCCTTTCTCCCCCTAAAAGTGTGACATAATTAATGGACGATCCCTTCTGTTTTCGCCTTCTTTTGCAGCGGACCTAACTTTATTGAATACGCGAGACAACATGAAATAATAATTTTATCCTTAGCTAACTAAACTGACAACATAAAAATCTAAATAAATGCAAAATTAAAAATTATTCACGAAACAATAGTGGTGAATATGTTGCCGGTCGTGAAATGACAACGAAAACAAAATATAACAAACACGGCACACACTTGTGTGAAACACGGTTAAATTACACTCGGTGGCAAAACTACACAAAACGGGATTAATTGTAACACGCGGGTTACAATTTTACCCATAAATTGCAATAAGTGCAGGAACTAAGTGATGAGTAAATTTGACTCATGTTTCATTTCTCATATTCGGGATTTTTCCTGGAAAACATGAGGCAAATTTACTCATCGCAGAGCTCCTCTAATTTTTGCGATTTATGAGTAAATTGAACTCAAATTTGGGTCGATCTTATTGGTCGTGTAGTCGACATTTGTACGATGTGCTGATCTTTCTTAAAGTCACAACAATAATAACTTCAAACAAGGTCTACGGCTGAAAATCTCCATTATGAAGATTAACCAACTTGGACTAACTAACTTCAAACAATGCCACTCTTTATTCACTGTTCTCAACATGATTCAATTCTCCTCCGTCTGCTCGCACTGCCACTATATTTCCGCCCTTATCCAGAGTCTACTGTGATCTTTCTTTGTCTTTCAGGGGGTAGAAACTAGTGAGGGTCTAGGATGAGAGAGAAGCGGATCCAGAACAAACAGCCTTGATGACCTTTGCTAAGGTGGTTTCTATCAACACTAGCAAAGGAATTAAGATTATCAAAATAGGCGCTTATCTCTGATCCTCCTTATTCTTTAGACCATCACTAGTAGAACCCTACAAAACAAAGGATTAGGCTCAAATCACGAAGTCATAGTAGTTTCTGAGATTTGTGTTGTGGGCATTTCAAACTGGCAGTGCAAATCAGAGTCGTACAGCACCCTAGTATTATGGGCCACCGAGTAATAAGGGTCAGCCGATGCTATATTTTGGATTCAAACAATCAAATAAATGTTCTATCAAGGCAAACAAGTTTTCTCTGTAATCTTCAATGTGAAACACATGGCCCCGGGGCACTTAATTCATTAATTTTATGCTTGTATGTTGTAATAAGATATAAAAACCAACTTTTTTCTTTGAATATACAGATAAATTCCAGAACAACATGTGAAAAGGGCATACAAGCTTTTTGTAAACAAACCTTCTTATGCCCTTTTCTCGCCACCCATATGACACCAACGCAAACCTTTAACATCACCGGGTAGGGGACACTTTCCCCTTCCCGATGATATTGCTGGTTTGCGTGGGCGACCCTCGGTTGGCGAGAAAAGGGCCTACAAAGGTTTGTTTACAAAAAGCTTGTATGCCCTTTTCACATGTGGCTCTTGAATTATGTCTTAACCAAAGTTGAAAAAAAGGTCAAAGAAAGCAACTTTGCTGACGTGTTGGAGGCGAACCAGCCCCAGGCTGAAAGCCTCCCTAATAAAGATAAATCAATCAATCAATCAACTTTGCTGACGTAGTCAAAATCCTCAGTTCAATATTTTCAGAGCTATGGACCACATTTTATGGTAGCTCCCTTAAATTTAGTTTATCGATCATTAATTTTTAGTGATTAATTTGTTTAGCTTATAATGTTCTAAACAATTGTTTTAACCGCAAAAACACCCGTTTTTGTCGTAGACTGTTGGTCACTACAATTATCCCTTGAGGAGTTATAGCACATTTCTATATATTTTTTTATTAACTTTATACGCTTATAGGGGGTAATGGGGCAAGTGGAGACACAAACTACCAATCAGTATGAAGCTTAGGCCAAGAACTATAAAGTTATGAAGGTTTGGCTCAGTGCTGCAAAATCTCGACAATACACGGCGATATTCAAAATTCTGCTTTGGTCACTCATTTGAGCTAACAGTCATCATCAAGGCAAGCCATGCCAATTGTTAAATTTGTAACGAAATTAAATGACTGGAACAAAATACTTACATGGAGCCGTTAAGGTGAACAAGCATCTATGTCCTGAACTGCTAGGAGAACAATAATCTTACACATAATGCGCTACATACACTTTTTGTTACTGGGTGAATCTTTGTCATTGACGAAACAATTATTGAGATTTTGACAAAGGCTTTTTTGAGGATCAAGCAAGGGGCAGGTACTCCGCACACCAATCTTGGGTCAATATTTTTCTCAGTGTGCCGCTGGTGTGCTGATTGTGCCGGCAGTGCAGGGCATAGAGTAAGCAGCGAATTTTTTTTAAAATTATACGAATAGTATGGTATATTTGGAAACCCGGCACTTCTGACAGCTTGAATGTTTAGGTTTGCAATTGCAACGGCCCCGGAAATGTCGAATAGGATAAGGTTTCCTTCTACCGACGAATAAAACGCTTCTACGCCAACTGGAAGGATGCAGATTTTTCCCATAATGATTCGTTACAGAAGGTGGATTGCATTCTGACGGCAGTCGGCGCAGACGAGGAAACCATCTACAGCAAATCTACCTCGCTGCAGACCTGGCTGCTGGGATACGAGCTGACCGATACGATTACGGAGCTTTGCGAAAAGTCAATCTTTTTCCTGACCAGCAAAGGTCAATTTCCTGACGCGGATCGAGAAGGACGGTGAGGAGGGCATTCCGTCGGTGAAGTTGTTGGTTCGGGAAAAGAACGACAAAGACAAGGCCAATTTTGAAAAGCTGCTGGAGGCGATCAAGGCCCTTGATTCAAGGGATCCAAGGATATCAAAACGTTGAGCTTCTTCTCCAAGGAAAACTTCCCGGGTGAATTCTGTGAATCGTGGCGAGCCTTCATCAAGGACAAGAGCTTCGACACGGTACACATCAGCATCCCAATCGTGTACATCATGTGCTCCAAGGCTGACTCCGAGGTTATCGCCATCAGACGGTAGACGTATTCAACAAGTACCTCAAGCATCACATCATGCAGATTATGGATGCTGATAAGAAAGGTACGTCTCCGGTGTGGATACCAACTAGTTGGACATGCGCTACCCGGCGATTATCCAGTCGGCTGGCAATTACAGATTGAAGTTCAGTGCATTCAGCGACAAGAACTATCTGCAATTTGGATCGATCATCTGTATTCTGGGTGCGCGTTACAAGTCCTACTACTCCATTGTCGTCCGAACGTTGTTGGTAAATCCGACAGAAGCACTACACCTTACTGCTCAATCTGGAAGAGAAACTGCTGAAGGTTAGGATCCCGGTCAAGAAGCTCTCGGAGGGTTTCGAGGTCGGAATTGTTTAAAAATTTTAAGTTAATTAGGTTGAGTTGAAGCAATAAAAATTCCGTGTGGTTGTGCCGTGAAAATTAGTTCGGTTTTGTTCACATGAGTTTGGTTTGGTAGATGAACAATTGACAGACTACTTTTCACGGCACAATCACACCGAATTTTTATTGCTTCCAATCAAACTTAATTAACTTTTATTTTTGTTACAAAAATCGAAAACCATTTATTTCAATCTCGTATAAGATGGCACATATCCGAAAATAAAACTACTCTTTTGCTTTATTCAAATTTAAACCGAAATCTCACTTCAAATTTACATACGTCGCATCGGTGGTAAGGCCACAGTTGTTACCCTTCACCGCCATCAAAGCATATCCATCGTTGTCCCAGTAGTTGATTAGCCAGTAATCTTTTCCTTTTAGTTTTCCGAATTAAAACCGCCACCACTGCATGATCCAATCCATCCAAATTGTTCTTGTATTCCGGTTCGTAATACACACCATTTGCGTAGTAGCTGAAAGACTTGTGACCGGCATCGATAGCAATTGACAGGCCTCGAAAGCCTACATTTCGAATTTAAATGTGAACCGAGAAGTGAATTGCTGGTCTGAGTTCCTCACGTATATTCAATCAGAGTATGTTTCTGAAATACACAGTCAAACAGCACGTAATGTTGTGAACAACTTCAATGACAGCTGTTCAGCAGTGCTCCCATTATATTTAATGACCAACCCAATGCCTACGAGAATGCCGAAGGATGTGCCCAATCTGTGCTGAATCTACTTTCGGCACACTGTGCTGAATGAGTTACCCCTTGGGATCAAGTCTATCAGTGACTATGTGAAAAACAATTTAGTCAATATCGCGCGAAAGTCTGTCAATGACAATGGCAAATCCCAGCACTGGTTTGGTTTGTCACTTTTTACCCATATTTGTTCATGTTTTTTTCATATATCTATATTCTTACACAAATCACACATTTTTAAGTGGATAGACCTGCGTTACACGTGAACTGCAGTCATATATACGAATTACACTATGATCATATCCAAGTGTACTCTTAATAGTATACATATTTTATGATATTTTGACCAAATTTATGTGCAAACTATTTTGGTGAAGGTATTTGAACGTTTTGTAAAGATTTTCGAAAATTCAACCGCATATTCAGCAGAACACCCTAAAACAAGGCATTTGAGAGGTACGTTAAAAGTACTTGAAGGTACGCTATGATTCGCTGTTGGTACACTTCGAGAAATATAATTTGGCTCCGTTCTATTATAAATGTTCCCTCTGAATAAAAATGTTTGGATAATACGATGACAATTTCAAACATTCTAAAGTAAACTTCAACTTAAAGTAATTACAACACAGAAAATAAGAAATGAAGTTGAAAGTCGTGGTGAAGATCTTCGTCGAATTGGTCCAACAAAAAATGGAAATCGATCTACTTACTGGCACGCGACACGCGACAAACCGGACGCAGGGGCGCAGGCTCAAACACACATCGATGTTGTACGCCGCTTGTTTTCCGCATACGGTTTCTATGGCGACGCTAGTCGCGTTCAAACAGAACCTGATATTTTGATTTCAATCATCTCATCGCATCGACAACATGGATATGTACGACGAAATGTATGAAATTAAAAATAGTCGCGAAATTGACGATAGTCCACCGCCCGATTTGGACGTTTCCAGTTCGTTGCAGTTTGTAAACGAGGAACCGCTTGAAGATAATCCGAAAGCGGCTCAGGTATTGGAATAAGGTATGCAAGCTAGGTGTTTGATATTAATTGATTCTGCCCAACGTAGAACGTCAAAGTTGACCCGATCGATGATGTGGATGAGGAAATAACAAAGGTCACTGCTAGTAAGCCCAGCGATATCTTCAAGAAACGAGAGAGCTTGCAGAAGCATGATTCCTTGACGGACAGCAGTGCCAGCGTTTCGGAAGATGAGAAGGAAATCCCCAAGAGCCTGGTCGAAGAAAAGGAATTCAATCCAAAGTTTTACGAGAACATTGAGGCACCTAGCGAGGTGAAGGATTTGTTTCAATACATAACACGATTCTCGCCGCAGCGCATTAGCATAGATTACAAGTTGAAAATTTTCGTACCCGATTTCATTCCATCGGTTGGAGATATCGATGCTTTCTTGAAAGTTTGTTCGCCGACTTTCATAAATGAGGAGAAGAAAAAGGTCCTCACAGAGCACATCAAGAAGCTTGGACTGGAGGTGAGTTGACACTAGGCCTACTGTGATTCGGTACACTCTGAAACACTCGTAAATTTCCAGACTCTAGATGAGCCATGCGGCGATCAAAGTGACCGGGTGCTGCTGCAGATGAAAATGCGATCTATTTTCACCAAGCCCCTGGAGACGCCGTCAGCGATTGCAAAGTCATCCAAGGACGTCGACCGGTGGATAACGGAAATCCAGTCACTCAAGGCGAATCAATCGGCTCAGAACATAAACTCCCTCCGCCCGATGGTGAACATTGACAATCTGATGTCGGAGTGGCCTGAGGAGATTGAAAAAATTCTCGACACGGTTGGATTTCCCTCAGCCGACTTGAATTGTTCGCTGAGTAGGTATATTGAAGTTATTTGTAACATTTTTGACATTCCAGTACAGCAGATCAATGGACAAGCGGGGTACATACAGGCATTGTATAATTTATTCAATCTGTATTTAGCAGTTAAGCAGCAAGGTAACGCGTAATCATTGTCTAAAAGGAACTTAATAAATCTAAGAAATCAACTGAAGGTAAATGCCGTTGCATTATTTAAGTATCCGAACGTAGGAATCTCCTATACCGAACTTGAAAATAGCCAAAAACGGGAAGTACGTGATAAGGAATCTCGATAGAATCATTTGACTGTTTAAGTACCACCTAAAGAGAGTGGATTTTATCCACACTTCATGTACTATCAAAAGATAGTACAAGATGAACCGGCTGTATCTGCCGAAGTTATCGTATTTGGTTTCGCAGCCTGGTGACGGGTGTTCTTCAGTCCAATAGTGATAGCCGGGAATGCCCGTGAGCCGAGCCGTCAGGAACAGGAAGGCATCGTAGTCCAGGAATGGGTTAAAACACCACAGGCCCTCTATCAGGGCTTTGCTCATTTTCTCGAAATTTTCCGACCGGGCGATCAATGCGGGTTTCAAAATGTGCTCCTGCACTTGTTTCATCCGTTCCTCGGTGGAGGCTAGGTTGTTTGTGCACAGGTTGTAACTGAAAGTGGAAAATGTTAAAATGTAATTTTTTCTCCGAATTAGCAAATTGTCAGCAGATTGAAATTGAAGTAAGTTTAGTAGGCGTTGCATAGCAACGAGAATAGAAAATTGTCAGTTCTTAATGAAACTTATTCCTAATCGTGTTGATACATCTTCTAAAGAAAATCCAGTGTAGTTAGTTTAGCTTATGTCGTTTTCGTTTTTGAGGTGTAGCTACACCGGTGCTACACAGCCGAACACCGAAAATTTTCAGGGTGTGGCTATCGGTTGCACCTTTGTTTACAAGCAAATGATGATGAGCTGTCAATGTCTCGCGCTTATTGCTGCTTACACTACATCGGTGTAGTGTAGTAAAAACGAAAACGACATTAGACTGACTGCACATATCAATGGTTGCTACTCCCTGATTGATCAGGATCAGTGAAATTGCACAATAAATCAACTGAATGGGGCTGGGAGTGACCGTTCATTCTCAATATACAAGTTTAAGTAGGGGAAATGTCTCTAATGTTGGCCTATGGATCTAAGATTGGGCCCATCGCTAAAAATCTGCTTTTTATCAATTTTATCTAGATGAACGCGTCATTAGGACGTTACTAATGGATATTTTTGGTTGCTATTAAAAATTTAGTCGATTACTGAATTTATGTATGGGCCCAAATTAGGGACATTTAGGCCGACATTACCTGCATTCAGGCATGGAAAATCATTTGCATTCATTTCGTGCATTCATTTACATCGATTTGCCCCTAATTTTTTTTTTATCAACAGCATTCCGCTAAATAAGGTATGGAGCTATTGTAGGTTTTATTATTAGCTACAACTTTTGTTAACAACTCAAATCCGTATCTCTTATGCATGACGAACCAGAGCTAACAGAATCCACTACTGTTTTTCGGTGAATGTATTTTACATTCACTGAAAAACAGTAACAAGTTCTGCCCGCTCTAATTCGTGATGCATAAGAGATACAGATTTGAGTTATGGGCAAAAGTTGCAGCTAATAACAAAACCTACTAAAGCTCTATACATCATTTTGCGGAATGCTGTTGATGGCAAAAGTTAGAAGCAATTGAATGTAAATGAATGCATGAAATGAATGTAAATGATTTTCCATGCCTGCCTGCATTTCCCCTATATCCATATTTTGAAGATCAATAAAGGCACCAACCTCGTATTTGCAATCACATGGGAGTATGGAAGGAATACTAGAGTGACCTTTGTTGTTTTTGGGACCGTGTTTACCTCTGCGCCTTCACAAAGGTCACAGGAGAGAATATTTAGTTGGTAGCTTTGGTTCGTTGGATCAGAATTCACCTTGAAAAGTGATGCCATCGTAGTTTTGATATCATATAAATATTGTTTTTCTAAATTCAAGTAAATAAGATCCGATCTCTTGATGGCTGGTAGGCAAATAATGCGACCATATCAACTCAATAATGTAAAGGGGTTTGTGATAAAACCCACCATTTTCTGGAGGTCGCAACTAGGCCATCCAGCCCCTTACATTACAATAAACCGTTACTAGTGACGATTGTTCCCGGCGTTAGGTTAGGTTAGGTTTACTTTATGAAGAAGACAGATGTAGCATACTTTTTATTTTACCGAGTAAACCATTCCGAAGATTATGACGACTGTCACGCATAATGAATGACATTATAGTAATGATAACATCACTAAGACAACCACACCTCCTTGACAGACCTAATAATGATTTCGTCATCTTGCACAAATAGGGGAAATGCAGGTAATGTTGGCCTAAGTGTCCCTAATTTGGGCCCATGCATAAATTCAGCAATCGACTAAATTTTCAATAGCAAACAAAAATATCCATTAGTAACGTCCCAAGAACGCGTTCATCTAGTTAAAATTGATAAATAGCAGATTTTTAGCGATGGGCCTAATCTTAGATCCATAGGCCAACATTAGAGACATTTCCCCTATAACACATCTTTCAAGCGATTTAGACCGATCTGTATTGTGTTTTAAACAATTCGCCGGATGCACTGTGCGGTAGAATGTATGGGAATACCGGACAAAAATCAAAACTGGAGGTTTTTATCATTTTTACCCATAAGTGCAAAAGAGAAAGTCGTTAATGATTATGCAAACTGCTATTTGAATTAACGACGTATGTTGTATACGTAATCATAAATGTGTCCCAAATGCCATATTACGTAAAATAGGGCTAAACAATAGTGTTTTAGAGAAAGTTGTTCATGATGATAAAGATGTATATATGCATAGCATTCATATCTTATACGTAATCATTCAAGTGACTTAAACGCCAAAATATATAAAAACCTTGAAATATTAATATTTTGACGTACACAGCAAAAATAATAATGTAATAAAGATCAATGTAATTCAAGCTGATGTATGAAATAATGATGTAATAGGAAAAAGCAGACACAATATTACATCAATGGATGTAATTTTGTTCGCAAAATCGATGTACATCGTACAACGTTATATTACACTACCGATGGATGGTCAATCCGAACCTGGTTGCAGAAGTTTGTGAAAACCGAAAATGGAACATGTAACAAAATTATGCAAGATTTTGAACGTTAATAACTCAGCTGCCCCTTGACCAATTCCAATAATGTTATCGCCAATCGATCGGAGTTATTTGTACGCATCTGCTTAAGTTGAGTCTTTATCATTTTTCAAAATGTCGCAATTGAAAATTGCACGAGAATGGCAGGCACTTTCAACACCACTCCCGGTTATTCATTCAATGGGCTCGGGGCCTGGAACTAACATAAAAATACGACCGATCGGATTGACTACACGATCAGTTTAGAGTCGGCGCACAATCACATATGAAGTGTCAAATTTTATTCACGCAATGGGTGTTGTCCCACAGATAATACTAGGATATGTTAAGGTGACGTCCATGGTCTTAAGTATTTTTAGGTCTAGTATCTGATGATGGGTTTTATTTGACTCCAATTAGTGTGTTAAAGAAATGCTCAAACAATCAATAACATACGAAAACTGTGATGACAAGGACAAAAGTAATTGATTATTCAGGCAGTTAAGTATGGTCATGATTGCCCGCCCGTGGATACTACTCTTTTACTAATACAATCAACTGTAATTGTTCAGAAAACCAATAGATGGCACTTGGACTAGCCTTCATTGCCGGCTACGCCCGAATTCAGGAAGGAAATTGTGGGCGAAATACTCGTTTTATTGGATACTGATAAGTCCATTGCAATTCCACGAGCCATATCAACTCAGTACTGTAAAGGTGCTTAAGACCGACGATATTGAGTGCAGTAAGCAAAAATGATCACCATTAGGCCACCGAGCCCCTTACGACCGTGTTCTGTTACTTGTCAACTACATTCTCTTCAAACAAAATAAAACAAATATCTATCGACAACCCAACAATGTATACACTTCTATAATAAGATGAATATTGAACCCACATTGATCGATAATGGAGTACAAATGTTACGTCCATCTTCAAATGAAAATCAAGTGTAGTTCAATATAAAGTACTTATACCAGAGATTTCTGGTGATATTACTACCCCCTTGTATCTGTTATTGCGTATGTTGATCAAGAGTGAAACATTCTTACAGATAAGAACACTTCGGAATTTCTTGGGGTTTTTTGAAACTTAGCTTGATAGAAATAATGGTAGTATAATTACCATCGACAAACACTAAGACCAGGGAGTCCCGAAGAAACGTGCTTAATCGTTTGGCTCAGTAACTACAAGACCTATTTGAAGCACCCCTCAAAACGACTCTTCATTAACACTCCAAACACAATGCCTCCGGCAAAATGTGTAATGGCAAATTGGCAATGTTTGAAAAATCATTGCTCAGCAATTTATTGATCGATTTCAAATATATTGGTACTGAATCAATGTTTAAAGAACAGACATAACACTCGCAAGTTTTGAAAAGTCTTTAATTTGTGATACAGTACGACGGAAAAATGAGTCATCGCATATAAGTCGGAAATTTGCATTCTATACGATTTAACTTAAACATGATGCGAGGTTTGCCATTCTTATATGCGATTTTTACTTAAACTGTAGCAATTTACGATACTGTCTGTACATTGTTATGCGACTTCTGGTTGTCTGGGATATTTTGTACATCAGAGATGCGCAAAATATATTAAAACGGCCAGGCCTACTGGGCAAGATGATTCAGAAACATCAGGCCTGTTTAAATCAAAGATTTAAATACGATGCTAATAAATGGATGAAACGTGGACATCTCGTACAGTACGTTCCGTTGTTATAAATCATTGGTCGTTGGGAGCATCTATTTAATCTAAAAAAGTTAAATGATGCTCCATTTTCCTCGAGTGGTTGGCTATTGTCTTAGCTATATAATAAACGGCCGTAGGAGAAAGGAAAAGGAGGAAGGAAGGAACCTTATCTTCCCTTGTGTAAAAACTGAAAATAACGGGTCTCTAATCAATCTACATGAAAAGTTCGCTATGACTCGCGAACTTTTCCTTTTCTGTGCTTCATAAAACCTCGCGAAATTTCCCAACGCTGAACACGAACAGGTGAGAGCTAGATTTCAGTAGAGAGCGCAATAGAACAAAAATATATTATAAATTTAAGAACATATAAATGAAAGTAAAGGGAAGATCTCAGCAAGTTTCTAGTTCAAAAATTCTTCAGGCAAATCATGATCACAAAAATGGAACTTTAAGGTACAAAACATCAAACGTCTAAAACCAGAAAAAAAAAGCACTAGGACGACTCTCTTGCCGAATGAACCAATTGTCAAATCTATGTTAGAACTTGCCCATACCCACTCGCTCCCGACCTTTGACAATAGCGCACTAGACATTTGATTTATCATCAAAATACAGCACGAAAGCGGCTCTTCGAAATGATTTCTAAGACAAAGTTGTAGAAACCGAAACAGGTGAATATATAAACAGGAACGATCTCACCAAATGAACGATGGTTTGCCCGTGAAGCAAAAACTTGGAAGGCTGTTGCATCTCCTAGTTCTATCTCAACACTTCAAACCATTCCATCGGATCTTCAAAGAAACTCTTGCACAATCAGCCTCCGATCCAAACAGAATCATCGGGCCAACTTGCCAATCGCCTAATAACAGTTCTGACGAAAAAGATGCTGATAAAAATCACTTTGAAATGCATTCTACCCGATCACTAAAATCACTTCGCATCTAAAATTCTTATCTAGAACAATGTTATCGAGTGGCACATTGTTTCGGGCAAAAACGCGATGAAAAAATCAATGACAGAAAAAATTAAGCCTAAAATTTAACACTTGGAAATGTTTCACGTCCTTACAGAAGCAGAGCACACTTTGATCTCCTGTCAAAACCGAGAATTTTTTGCCTAGATAAAAATTATTTTGTCCAGAATAGATCAGACACGAAGCAAATCATACATTTTTCACGCGTGTTCGTGGCTAGACAAACGTTTTCCCCGAACACGAAGACAGATGTCAGTAGTGTCCTTTGAGTAGAAATTGCATGGTTATTTCTATGGTCATTTATGTCGGTTTGTCGTTTGTGTCTATAAGGGGAATCAAAACAAACACAGATTTCAGTACGAGAATGGGGTTCACTTATACACTCCCGATCATAAGTTCACCCCCAAAAAAACATGACGAATTTGTTATGTTCATATCTCTGTCATGTTACGTCCAATTTTCGTTCTCTTTAGATCATTTGAAAGGTGTTGAATGGAACGTAGGCAAATTGTTCAATATAATTTTCAAATTTTGTGTGCTAAAAGTTTACCCAAAATTGCAATATTTTTCAAAATTTACTCTGAAGAATCGTGACTGATTTTCTCAGAATTGGGTTGGCCAAATTTTGAAATAAAAGTAGTAGTAGAACATTTATGCTATACCATTCATACCATTCAAATAACCTTTGGAGATCGAAAATTGAACGTAAAATGAGAGATCATTGAACAAAACATATTTGCATGGGTTTTTTGGGGGTGTCCTTAAACTTATGATCGTTAGTTTAGATGTATTTGGGACCTATGAGCTAGTCAAATAAAGCATTTTTAATAAAGAAATCTAATCAAATCTAGTCAAGTAATAAGCCAATTTAAAATCTTTAGTTTCGTATTGTTTGTTGGTATTACACTGTGCAACAAACTTGGATTTGTTTTACTCAGAACATTCAAATTTGACCATATTTGACTTTCCTGTGGCCCTTTGTGTTAATGTGCAGAATATACTTATGCCGTAACACGTTAGGTTTTTCATATAATAATTTTGATATGTTCCCGTAACGATGTTTGATATGTAGATCGTAAGTAATCAAATATATTATATTAACAATATGATCCACTCTTTCGCTTAGTTGGCAAACCGAATTTTCAGCGATGAAAGTGCCTCTGTGGCCTGAAAGGATACCAATGTACTTGTTTATCTTCACGAAGGAGAGGTAACCCAAATGAAAATTTGTATAATATTTTAAATGCATGTATTTCAGTATGGGATGGTCCATTAATTATGTCACGAAAATTTGGCCCATTTTCAAACCCCCTCCCCCCTTTGTCACATTTTTTGTATGGACCTTATTTTTTTTTTGTATGGCTCGTCACAGTTTTCAAAACCCCCCCTCCTCCCTAAATGTGTGACATAATTAATGGACGACCCCTATTTTATTTTATTTGATGACAACAATGACACGTCACACAAATTTGCATGTAATATCATTATATATAAAATGTAATTAATGAAAATATTTTTACTAGTGTTATATTCGCGCCCTTAGATTTTTAATTGGATGATTGATGTTGATCTTTTTCAACGTGAGTTGGTGCATGAAACAAACTTTTTCGGTCACCATTGCAATGTATGGAAAAGGCATGAATGGATCATATTGTTAATACAGTCAACTCTCCGTTTCTCGATATTTCTCTCTATCTCGATTTTTTTAGCAGTCTCTTCAGATGTGCATACATCCAGTTCTCTCGATACCAGTATCTCGATATTATCTCTATCTCGATCTTTCTCTACACGGTAAAAAAAAGTACCCAAAAGTAAGTTCTTTTCACTCATCTCGGCACTATAGTGCTGGAACCCAAAAGTAGGTAAAGCGGGCCAAAGTAGTTTTCATTTACTTGTGTGCAATTCGTATGGAATTTTCCACTCGCTTTCTACCCAAAAGTAAGTTGGTTGTACCCAAAAGTAGGTAAATATGATTATACTCAACGTTGGGTTCTTACACTTTACTACCCCTGTTGGGTGGTTTTGTTCCCGCATTTTTGACAACATTAGAAAAAGAAAAGGAGACAAACTAGTCAATACTAAGGCTCTGAACCATTTGGTGGATTATTTTAACTTTTGGTTAAAATTTGACAGATGAAAAGTTATCGATTAACCCTGCTATCCGAGCGTGGTTACTTCTGACAGACAAGAAGTTAAATTTTGACGACCGTGGCTCGAAAACCGGTCGATCGACAGCACGGGGATTTTCGAACATAAGAAATAACTTTCGAAATGTCACTTTTAACCACGAGTTAAATTTAACTCGGCAAATGGTTCACAGCCTAAGTAAAAGTGAACTGGTCGTTGGGTATATTCGGGATCAAATTACTCTCCAAATGTCGATGGAAAATTTTAGTTCACCAGTTTTTCTACGTTTGAAGTAAGTGATCGAGTTTTGCTGTCGATGCCGGATAAACAAATATACTTTTTGAACATAAATTGCTCCTAGAATCGTACTAGTAGGCTAATAAATTACTGTTCTGAATGCCGATCTCTCCCTATCTCGATGGTCCCTTCAATACTTCGAAATGGAAAATTGACTGTTATGCTTATTTTTAGGGGATGTTTTTACAGATGAAGTGAAATTATTCAAATCCATCCCACCCGTTCTACAGTTAACATTTATACGACGAGTTAACATTTATATACCACTTACCGATCCTGAATTCCGATCATGTAACCGATAACTCTCCAGAAGTGAACCAATGCTTCCATATCTTCCTTGTTGTAAACTATTCCAAGCTTATTATAACCTAGGACAGCGTACCTAGAAATCAAACTCGTCAATGCACATCTACTTTCTTTATAAGGCAAAAACCTACCCCATGAACCCAAACTGCGTAACGGCCATATCCTTTTGGGACACAATCCTGCCCGCAAGCTTGGCATTGCTTCTCTTGCTAACCGCAACATGACCTCTTCGAACATAGGTAATCGATTTCCATGACCTAGAGAACACTGACCAAGAGTTAACATGCGCGTTATTTTCATAAATGTGCGACAACTTACGGAGTTCCCGGTAGCAGTTCCTCATAGTACCAGTTTAGAGTGTGCATTATAGTCCCAACATAGCGCCTGTAGGCAGTCACGGCAGTGGACGATTGCTTCGTATAGACTAGCACATTCACAATACTTGGCACGGCCAGAATGACAAGCAAACCACAGAGTTTGGCTACGAACATCGCGAAAAAGTTCTGTTTGAAGTACTTCTGCGCCCTGGAAACGATATTTTACATAAATCATAAATATTAAAAAAAAACCAATTGATGCGTTGATGTCAACGTACCGTTTGTACTTCTCATCATCGTACCACGGTGGTAATTGCAGCTCGTACTCATCAACATCGATGTCCACTTGCGTTTTCGCTCCATCGCCCAGCAGTCCATCCAAATAGTTTAACTCGTCATCTGTAACGGGAGTCGAAAAGAGAAAGTGGATTACATACTTTTTCGCTGAGTGAATATGTTTTTTGTTATGCGCAATGAACTTAGGACGCACTTTTTTCGGGCTCCATTTTTTATTTCACCAAGCTACACGTAGATTTAACTGACTGACGACATCCAGTGACCAACCCAATAAGAACCTGTTTCTTTGCGATGTGTTCGCGAAGAATTCGTCTGGCATACTTGAGAAGCAAACGGGATGACACGACGCGCAAGATTATCTGCGCTATACGGTCTGCAATCGACTGAGCACGCTAATAGGCTGGTACCGGTTTGCCTTGAGCTGAACGGCTTGTTGCTTCTATTCCGAAAATCATCAATAACAAAAATGAACTGGAAATCCCAAGATTGCTGATTTGTTACATACGATTGAACCACCTGCTTTTTTTCCTAACAGCTCCTTATCAACAAGCCACTAGCAGTTAAACAAATGTTATCTCATCTACGGGAGTTCAATCTTTTCTGGATGGTAGCAATATAAAAACTACTTACATTTCAAACGTCACCAACTAAATTGCGCTCGCTCTCGCACATCGAAGCTGACTGGGGAAAGGCGCGCAGAGTGCTGGTGGATGATGTATGATAGCTTTCTCCTCGTGAGCGTTACTCCGATACCGGGTATCTTGCATGCAAGTGCCATGGAGGTTATGAGAGAAATCATACTCGCGGATGGTTTGCAGGCAACGTCCAGCGCGGATTATCTGTAACAAAGAGTTTGATTAAAGAAAGAAGGCTTTAGATTAAGTGAATCGCGATATCGCAGAACAAAGACAGTAAATTTTACGTTAGACGAGCTACTCTGCCCACATATGACGTATGAACTTAACTGGCAAGTTAAGAGATTGTTTCCCCTGACATCCGTAATAGAAAAATACAATAAGAAGTGCTTAACAACGTGTTCGGGGTCTCTCTCTCTCTCTCTCTCTCTTCCTCGCTTTTCAAGCTTATTACTTATCGCATATTAGCTTATCGCGTGCTCTCAACTTAGTGTTCTAGATGCAGTTCCACAGTTATTAATTGAGAGCTTTCGATGCCTGTACCATTTTTGCATTAGTATAATTGTGTGGCAATTACACGCAAGTACTCTATGCCCAGGGAAGTCGGGAAATGTTCCAACCAGAAAAATTCCTAGACTGGACCGGGAATCGAAGTCAACAACCTTCAGCATGGTCTTGCTTTGTAGCTGCGCCTTTACCGACTGAGCTGAGGAAGGCGACGTGACCGGTCGTGATCCAGATTATTTGTGGAATAATTTCACTATACGGTTTATCGTTCGATGATGATTTCTGTTTATTAGGGATGGCAATATGTCCGGTGGATCTAAGCTGTATATACATTTTTTGAAGATTAAATGTTAATTTGGATCGTGCAACCCCTCTAAAACTGTTAATGTGAATTAACCACTGACCACTGCTCGAATGAAGTGGTTAATTGTAGACAGTCTCTAACACTGTAAGGATTTAATATTTTTTTTTATCATATACCTGGGTGTTCTGAGGGGGAGCCTTCGCAGACTACGAGGCTGGTGCCGTGCATCCATGGATCGAGTTGAATGGAGACGACTTTTGTGTACAGCAAAGGACACCCAGGCCTTATCCTGACTGGTAAGGTAAGGTAGGTAAGGGTCCCTGATTTGTGTCCATTTGATTTTTTCTATTTTAAGATGATAAACTTCTAGATGGGTTGCCCTTCTAGTTGGGTTTGCTTGGACAATCATGAAATTAGTCAGTTTAATTCATAATCAAAATACTGCGTGTTACAAAATTGTTTGTACTGCGTCAAAGAGATTTAAGGCGTCCCTTAAGGGCCACCCACATTAGATCTGTTTGCGTTGCGTTGACGTAAATTTGACAGTTAAACAATAGATCTAGCTGTCACTTTGCCGCAACGCGTCAGATCCGGATCTAATGTGGGTGGCCCTTTAGAATAGATAAGTTGTCAGTCACATTCAGCAATTTTCTCTATTTCAGCTTTTATAAAAAATGCATTTGATCATCGATTTGGCGTAACTGGTAGCTCTCTCACGCATACTAACACCACTATCAGGTAGGGGAAAATTTATCCTATCTTATGGTACTGTTAGAATGCGTGGGCGAGCTACCAGTTACGCCAAATCGACGTTAAATGCATTGTTTACAAAAGCTGATACGTCCCTTCGAAAAAGTAGTCGAGATTTGTTGCTTACTATCAGGATTGTAATAGATTGTAAATGATTACTAAGCGACTTTTAGTGATGAGTGGCACCGGTTGTGTAGTGGAAATCGTGACTGCCTCACACCCCAAAAGGCCTGGGTTCAATCCCAGTCAGCGCCGCCGGGATTTTCTGAGGCATAAAATCTCTGATCATGCCTCATGGGATCATGGGAAGTAAAGCCGTTGGTCCCCGGTCCATAAGTTGATGGGTCGATAGGTAGGGTCCAGGAGTGAGAGCTGCCTTCCTGGTGCCCGATAGCATTGGTACTCAGTACAGAAAACAAGATCGACGGAAAACAAATCAAGGAAAAAAAAGACACTTAGTGATAGAAATTGTTTTGACAGTTTGGATAGCGCAAACATAGTTTCACCATGTACTAACACTAAGACCAGGGAGTCTCGAAGAAACATGCTCAATCTTTTGGCTCAGAAAGTACCAGACCCACACAACATTTCCAAACTAGTCTCATTTGAAAGGAGTGTCCCTAAACTTTTTTTGGGTGGTTGTTTCAGCGATACTCATTGTTTTTTTTTCAAATAAGTTTTTCTTCCACCCCGTGTGTAAGTTTCTACTCAAAAAATGGGCCAAACTCAGAGTTGAAGTAAGGGGGTGACCAAAACAACCAAGGGCGACTTGCTGAAGGTGTGATTTATAATTGTTTCTAACGCATAAAATTTACATTATGTTTAAGAAGTTTGCTAAACTTTTATTAAGACTTGAGAAGTTTTTCTAGTTAAAGAATCATGACAATTATATGAAGGCTGCTATGCTGCTAATCACTTTTAATTCTGAGGAAACTTCCAAAATAATTTTAAAAAGAAATCGAAAGGGTTTGTGAGCATATCTTCTTGTGAATTATGTTAACAGCTGTTAAGCGTTGGAAGCCTATTTTTGTGTATGGGAGTAATAAATAAATAAATAAAAAAAAAAAATAAAAAAAATAAAATAAATAAATAAATAAATAAATAAATAAATAAATAAATAAATAAATAAATAAATAAATAAATAAATAAATAAATAAATAAATAAATAAATAAATAAATAAATAAATATTTTTTTTAACTTTATAAATTAAGCTAGTTCATCTCTAAAAATAAATAAATAAATAAATAAATAAATGAATAAGTTAATAAAAAAATAAATTAATTAATAAAAAAAAAAAAATAAAAAAAAAAAAAAATAATATAATATACAAATAAATAAATAAATAGAAAGATAGATAGATAGATAGATAGATAGATAGATAGATAGATAGATAGATAGATAGATAGATAGATAGATAGATAGATAGATAGATAGATAGATAGATAGATAGATAGATAGATAGATAGATAGATAGATAGATAGATAGATAGATAGATAGATAGATAGATAGATAGATAGATAGATAGATAGATAGATAGATAGATAGATAGATAGATAGATAGATAGATAGATAGATAGATAGATAGATAGATAGATAGATAGATAGATAGATAGATAGATAGATAGATAGATAGATAGATAGATAGATAGATAGATAGATAGATAGATAGATAGATAGATAGATAGATAGATAGATAGATAGATAGATAGATAGATAGATAGATAGATAGATAGATAGATAGATAGATAGATAGATAGATAGATAGATAGATAGATAGATAGATAGATAGATAGATAGATAGATAGATAGATAGATAGATAGATAGATAGATAGATAGATAGATAGATAGATAGATAGATAGATAGATAGATAGATAGATAGATAGATAGATAGATAGATAGATAGATAGATAGATAGATAGATAGATAGATAGATAGATAGATAGATAGATAGATAGATAGATAGATAGATAGATAGATAGATAGATAGATAGATAGATACATAGATTTGAAATAATTAAATAAACAAACAAATAAATAAATAAATAAATAAATAAATAATTATATGGACATTTGGTAGTAAAGAGAAGCATAGTGTTCTAACTTATACCGTCGTTAAGTTGCAACCTGATTGAATTCCGTATTCTTTTTCCCAGATCATCAAGACCTATTCTGTTATTGCATTTTACGTGAGCAGCAACACAAAAATGTAAATAAAGAGATAAACCTGTTCAAGTTTGTTGTTCCAATGTACATGAAGTTACGACCCTGAAACCGATTGAACCACCTGCACATCCCTATGAAATAACCACCTATCGAAACAGTTCAAGTACAACCTCATAATTGGAAACGAATTTTTACAATAACTTATAACTCATATAAACATATCACTCCGTCTTTCGAATATGTTCGTCATGTCAAAATTATCGTAAAAATTGTACCTCATAAAGAAATAAATGATATTATGTTTTTTTGTTCTAACAACTTATTTGTTTTTTGAAAATATGTATTCTCCATTACGTATTTAGAAGAATATTCACATTCGGAGTATACTTAACATTTACAAAATGGAATTAGAAATGATGTTTCACTACCACTGAAGAGACAGGATGCGATGTGTGGAAAAAATCCATCGACTTGTTCTTTATATATGGCTAACCAAAGTATTCAACGGATACGATACAACAATAAAAAATTTCTCTCGTTGACTGAGTTGGTGCGATGACATTTTGACAACGATATTCATTATTGAGCAACGCAAGTCACGCAGAGTTGCTCTAGATTTGCCCAAAAATTACTCATGCTTGAAAGCTGTCTTGCCCCTTCTTGTAATTTCGGAAATCGAAAAAAAAATGATACCAATAGACTTAACAATTGACATTGTGCGACATTCCTCAAAATTAATTTCATCAATAATTTTCGGAGATGAATTTGAAAAAGGCTAAAAATCTCGCTAATAAAGATTAAAAGAAAAAAGAAAATAAAATTCATCAATAACAACATAAACTTTTGGATTCTGAAATAGCTATTTATGCAACAAGTTGCAAAACGAAGATTTTTTAAACACGAGTCGCAATTTATCCAGCGAGGCTTGCCGAGTTTAAATAAGGATCCTCTTTACTGAGTCAGAATATCTATAGTCGCTATATTCATAGTCTGGCAGATAAAATTTCGATTTATCAAAAAGCGGAACCAATTCAATATATTGTAGACCAACAATTGAAAAAATACTATCAACTTTTACAAAACGTTGATTATTCT